TCAAAAAGTAATCCAATGTAATCAGTTACATTACTTTAATAAAGCAATTGAAATAGTTACACAACTTATTACATTTTAAATAGGGTAACCTGTAAACTGTAACCTATTACATTTACAAAGTAACCTTCCCAGCACTGCCTAACAGTAACCGTCAGAAAATTTTCTGGAAGTCAATGATGAAAAAAGTGTCAAAGATGCGACCCCCCCTCTCCCAATTTTTCATGCCACAGCAAAAATCAATTAAAAATAATACCCCATGAACTCCTGATGGCCATATATTGGTCACACTGTAGTTAAGCAGTTATAAAACATAAAAGATTTATGTTCTTTTTTTTTTTCAAAATTATGCATATTTTTGTATATATTTAAACAAAATGTAAACATGTAAACTTCACATTAAAGAAGATCTGCATATTTATTTATATATTTATTCATTAAGCAGAAGATTACTGCGACCTAGTTGAAAACAAACACTTATAAAATGAACATGACATGACATTACCACTATGACCAGTAGATGATCACTGATTCATGTATTCACTTGCCGTTTCCACTCCCTTATGTATAGTTAATCAAAGGGTGAGCGATTTATGTAGTTACTTGATAATAATATTTTGAGCTCATTTAAAATTCTAAACAACAACAACAAAAAACCTTCTGTGTTTATATTTTGATTATTTATAAACTTTTATTAAAGAAATGTGTAAAATGTTGCTCATCAGAATCAAGGGTTCGATCGAAAAATGTAGGCCTGAATGTTAAATGCAGTGCAGTTAAAAGTATGGATAAAAGTAGCCTATGTAAACGTAAGAGCCCTTGAGCAGATCAGATAAGACCAAATGAATGAATGAATGAATAGTAGGCTAATAATAATAATAATGATGATAATAACCAAAAAAAATGAATGTGTTATTTTCTTTCCTTTAAGTAAGTGTGCATTAAACGATTCAAAGGTTATCAGAATTAAAAGTTAAATCTGTCATTGCAGCTTTTTGAAGTGTGAATTTAGTTTGGAAGGATGAAATGTTAGTAGGCTACATTTTCGTCAGTTATTTTATTGGTTATTAAATCAGATACATAGAAGCACAGTAAAATTACATTTATTCAAATGCATTTGTGAGAGCGCGATTACGTGTAAATTAGTCCTGCCTGTCTGTGCAACGACTGTCTACTAATAGAGCTTTGGATTTTGATTACTTCAAAACACAAAGAAATGTTCGGTATAACTTTTCTGTTTCTAAGCATTTTTATTGACAAATCACAGGGCAGCGTTGACAATATTTGTTGTTTCTGTGTGTGAGTGATCCGTTATGTGTCTGTACATGTGTGCGTGCAGTACAATCCTTGTAGGCAGAACTAGTTTAGAACAGCTATAGTTATAGCATTAATTGTGCTAGTGATTGAGCGGTAGTGGAGCACTCTAAGGGTGAGCGAAAACCAGAATTATCCAACTTTCAAAAGATCCCCACTTCAGTTAAAATCACGCTGCTCCGCTCTCAATGCACTTCGATCCCATACGCTGCTTTGGGGTGGCAACTGGGGTGGCAACTGCCACCCTTGTGGACACGCCACTGGTGATAAGGAAATAACGCGAGAACCCGAGTGCATCAGACCGGAGTTCTCCAGCGAGACTGTAATTATTCAAATATATACAGTGGGTACGGAAAGTATTCAGACCCCCTTCAATTTTTCACTCTTTGTTATATTGCAGCCATTACGAGCAAACAAACTTACCAGACCCCTTTAACATTACAATGCATTGTGGGAAAGCGGTGACATTAGTGATGAAGAATGATTTAAGAAGCTGACACTGAGTTATGGTGTTTGAGACTGACTTTATAAACACCAAGAAACAGTTTTTACATAGAAATGTAGTTTTAATGAGAATGATGTGAATGAACTTACTGGACTCTGTGACTTTGGTCAGGGCCTTGCGATAGGTTGTATTGCAGCTGTTGACAACCTGCAGGGTGTTCTCCAATGCGTGGATCTCTTTCTCTGTCTTGCGGATTTTGCCGTCCAAATCATCCCCTTGCCGCTGGAGCTCTTCTTTCTCTTGAGCTGCCTTCAGGAAAAGTCCAGAATTTATCAGATATTGAGATGTAGATACTGGAGTAGTAATGTTCATTCTGATATGAAAAAAATTCACGAGGTAGAAAAGCTTTGAATTCAAAGACCCAAGCTGCACTTCTTTGTTTTGGATTTATTCATTTTAATGTTTTTGAAAGATGTCTCTTATGCTTACTAAGGCTCTATTTGTTTGAATATATACAGTAAAAATACCATAAAAAATAATTTGTGAAATACTATTAGTTTGAAATATCCACTTAACATTTTAATGTAACTTTTCTTGTGCAAAGCTGAATTTTCAGCATCATTACTCCAGTCTTCAGTGTCAATCATTCTAATATGCTGATTTGATGCTTGAAAAACGTTTATTATTTCTTACATTTCAATGTTGAAAACATTTTTGCTGCTTATATATTTGTGGAAATCATGATACATTTTTTTTTCAGGATTCTTTGATAAATAGAAAAGTTGAAAAGAACAACATTTTTATTTGAAATAGATATCTTTTGTAACATTAGACATGTATTTGTCACTTTTGATTAATGCAGGGGTCTCCAACATTTTGTGAGTGAGGGCTCTCTGAAGGGATAAAATAGTCAAGAAAAATATATCATTTGTTATAAATATAGATATACTGTATGGTATGGTTTTTCACTTTACTTTTAATCGGCATGACATGTCAAAAGAATAAGGAAATGATTGATATCCTGGCTTAATAAATGTAAAGATTTTGTCACAAGCATTTCAACTTTTTTGTCAACAGCCAATCCTGGAAAATATTCCAAGAAAATGTATAGAAATATGTACATTTATAATTTTCTCTCTTGTAGATCACTTTACACTGAACACATTTCCCTAGATATTTTATTGCCAGAGAATTTGACAAGTCACTTTACTTTTAATCACCATCATATGCCAAAGGAATAATTAAATATCTTGATATCCCGGTTTAACACATACAGTATTAATAATTTCTCACAAGCATTTTAAATTATTCAACTCTCAATCCTCGAAAATATTCCAGAAAAAATTAAATAGGCTATCGGGATATTTTTGTCCATATCATAAGATATTGATATTTATCATGATATTCATTTAAAATTAACGGGGAAGGAAATGCTTCCATATGTGTGTTAAGCCCCGTTCACACCAAGAACGATAACTATAAGATAACTATAAAGATAACTATAAAGATAGCGATATTAGCGTCCACACCAGCGAATGATATCGTCTGTTTATTCTAAGAGCACGCTCGTCTGCTGCTTTAAATTCTTGAGCTCGTTACAGCAGGATGGATTCTGATTGGCTGTCAATTTTTTATCATTCATC